TATCTATCTATCTATCTATCTATCTATCTATCTATCTATCTATCTATCTATCTATCTATCTATCTATCTATCTATCTATCTATCTATCATCTATCTAGCATTATAGATACACAGATTTTTATACATAATTTATAGATAGATTTTGCTGTATTGTAATCTTTTTTTATTATAACTTATGTTAAATAATATAACATATTTTCAAAAATGTGGTTCATAAAGGTATTATTTTTGCAGCATTTACATAATATATTAATTTAAAACTGGACCATAATTTAGATTATAGTGTATTTATTAGAAGTAGCACAATAATATGGATTAAATAAAAATACATATTTTTGTTTGGTAAAACAATAATACATGTCTTGGTTATTTTTTTCTTTTCACCCAAACTACTACAGAGATATGTTAAGTGTGTCTTGTTGCATAACATATGCTCCTGCTTCACAGTAGTGTTTGCCTAGAGCTGCTCAAAGCAAGGCCATTTTTATCTGCGCAAGAGAAAGACGTTGGAAGGTTCAGGCTTTAATCTTATATTCATGAATAAAACATCTTTACTATGTATGCACCCATATATGGTCAATCCAAAAGTGACGCAAAAAATAACTCTCCTTTTTCACCACGTCACCAGCTTGCAATGTGCGTAATGATGAAATGCTGGACCCAGATTGGTGTGCTGAACAAGTCATGAAGCCTGAGAGAGGCAGAAATCTGTCAGCTTGCCTGACTTCCTGTGGGGAGGGAGAGGGAAAGAGCAATGCAGCTCATCCTGCTCAGCAGAAGGATGGTGCTGTTTCACTGACAAGGCAAGCAGTACACCGTGTCCTTATCGTTCTGAATGCAGGTCAAACACAGTAAACAGGAGGCTGTCTCATAGTGGAATTTGTATATATTGTGTAAATTTTCACATAAAGTTTAAACAATAATCCACATTGTGATCATTTTGAACCACACTGTATCCTGAGAAGTGTGGAAAGACGACACCCCTGCCAATTTAAAAGTTATTACAGTCATGTTGTCTTAAATATTTAAATCACAGTGTTCATAATTTCTTGCAAAAACCCTGTGACAATCAAAATCTTAGTGTATATTGGAATTTTACTTAAAAGATTAAAAGACAAATATGAATTGATGTTAAATTAAGCAAGAGAAATAATAAACCCATCACCTTGGACAGGTTACCATTTTTTAACTATAGGTAAAATTTGTGGAAGTAACAAAATATAAAAACATTATTAAATCTGAAAAAATTTTCTAGGCACCTCCCACCGTGTGACTGAGGTGTCTTATGTGTCTCATATTGGGTTCAATCTTTGACATGAACTGCAAGTGAAAATATTACAACAGTGTAATGTTGCTTTACATTAGGTTTAATGTTGCTTTACATTAGGTTTAAGCTACTTTTTTTTTTTTTTTGCATAAACCTCTCATTATACTGTCAGAAACATTTCAAGTAGAGGTCAGCTGGCCTAGTATATTAGTACAGGAAGCACAAACAGAAATGCAGTGGAGTTGGTGTAAGGGGGAAGCAGGGGCAGTGAGAATGATTCCCTCCTTCTGTATAACCCATGAGGCGTAAGAAATTGAAAGTAGCCGTCTTTAAAATACCAGTCCTGTGTTTATTGGATTGGCCTGGTACTGTCTGTGATACGTCCTTGCCCTTTTCTTAGTTAACTACATGAATATTTATTTCCTTACACTTTACATGGCATAGTGCATTAATTTGCAAGTTAATTAAATGGTCGACCGAACATGATTTACAAGGCTTGAAATGGGGCATCTCAGTGTCTCTCACTGTTACCTCAAATAGATCTTTATAAGTTCATTTATTTTGGGATTGCATTCTGCTCTCTGGATATATAACATATTGTTCAAATTCTCATTATTAATGCAAACCAACAGCACAAATTGGTTAAATGAAATTGATTTGCAGAAATTGACCCAGTTAATCTAGTACAGGCTTTTTGTTTGATCGCATACAAACAGCCACACTTGCCCCATTTGCTGAGTCACAGACATGTAATATTCCAGTCATCCCTCCTGCACTGTCACTGTTTGTAACGATTAGTTTGATAAGCTTTCATAAAGTAGATTAGAACGGTCCGAACTGATGAGATAGGATTAAGGACAAAGTGATGGCTGGGGGAAAGGATTAGAACAGTCATGCACCATAGACTACCACATTCAGCCCCTCCTCAAATGAACAGTACAAACATGTATTGTTGGCACCAAAACATCTTACACACACACTCACCATCCCACCTCCGCCTCATCTCATTAGTCAAAGCCCAAACAGATTATAGCCGAAGCCCGTGGTGTCTGATTCATATTGTTGTGGCACTGGTGTTTTGATGTTTTTGATCTCAGTTTAATCCCCGTGTTATTTATTGACTGTTAATTTCTTTCTTTTTCCTCTATCTTATTTGTTAGTGTTTTTTGTTTTTTTCTTTTAGCATCATAACACATGCAGTTGTGCTTAACATATCTTTTAAAAAGACCTTCACTATTGTTTATCCAATATTACGTATGAAGATTTCTTGTTTTGTCCTCGGAATGCAAAGATAGGGGACTGTTTCCGGGAAGTGGTCATTTCTAGAAACAAGGAATGATCATTTTTAAAAGCCAATTTCTTACCATTGTTGTTACTTTTTTATTTATACAACAAAGCACCTGTGTGGTTTCTAAACAATTACGAAGTAATGTCCGCAAAACAAACTATACAACCATGGTAAGCAAGGTGGGGACATGACTCCGTTTGAGTAGACATTTTGTAAAATTTTGGTAATTGTGGTAAAATTTTGCAGTATTTTGCACCAACAGACGGCAGTGTACTTAATTGGGATTTTATGTTTGTCAGTGTAAAGTAAAGAATAAAAGTCACAAGAATTTTTATTTAACAATTTATGTGTAATACCAGCAACCTGTTGGCTTAACGATTTATATAACTAGTCAAGTTTGGCTGTGTGTAATGAGATATTGGTGTGAAACATAGCCTAGGTGCGGCTTGAAAAGACTTGAGACTGGTGCAGCAGTTTGGCCTTCTGCAGGATAATGACAACCCCCTTTTTAGGAGACTGTTTGTCCTTTTGCTTCCTCTGTTGCGTTCACTATTCTAATTAGTATCTTCTAACCTACCACATAAAGTTGTAAAAAGTAATAAATAAACTAGAAAAGCACTCAGAGAGTGCAGACCTCTGACAAGCCGCAAATTTTGCGCCATATTGGGACTTATCATAGCTAAAACTCTAAATTAAATGATCTGGATCTTTACCAAATTGTAATGAACTGTTCCTTCGCATGAGGTGCACCTTTGGTAAAAATTTCCTTTAAATCCTTTTATAAGTTAATGAATAAGGCCTAGCGTGTGTCTGCAGCCTCTGGTGTTTGCTCTGTTCTCACCTTCTTCATTCACTCTGCATACTGCTTTTCTTGTTGGATCAGCATATCGAGACTTCAAGCTCAGCATGGTTCATCGTTCCTGTGTTTTTCCTCTTCAGTATAACAGTTTTGGACTTCTTTGAGTCCAATCCTGAGGCTGTCAATAATCCCTGCTGCCTCTCCCTGGTGTAGGAAGGAAACACTTGTTCCGTCAAGTAATGTTGAAGAAGCATTTAAAAAATTCCTGCATCCATATTATGACATGGATCATTATCAAAAGTTCACTGATTTTTCCTGAGGTTCACCTTTGGTAAAATTTGATTCAAATCTGTTTAAAACTTTTTTAAGTTATCCTGTGCACAGACAGACAGACAAAATCACACAAACTTGACTAAAAACGAAGCAATAATAGGATGACTTATTCTATATCAGTCTCCTCAGTAAATCATTACAATTTCCAAAAAGGCAACAAGATTGATAACTGAAGTAGATTATGTGCTCTCAAACACATATGGATCATCCAGTTTAGTCTCTCATTACCAATGGTAATTATCTAAATGCTTGAATCAATGTTCCAAAATAAAACCCAAAACTCATCTCTGGTTGATTTGTGAGCTAACTGGACACAGGCAGTCCGGTTTGAAGGA